TAAAGACAATAGGAAAATTTCAGTGGAAGACCCAAAGCTCCCAATTCCACATAATTCCATGATGGAAGAACAACCTCCCCTAACTCACTTGTTTCCATGGTTATTTCAGGTAGAAAGAAAAATGGTGGCAATTTTTACTTCATCTCTGCTTGAAGTCCCTCTGAAGATCCTGCAGGAAAAGATTGAATGTTAGATTGGTTTTGTGTTACCCAATAATGCAACAAGTATAGAAATGTGAACTCTGCCAGCAGTCCAGAGTCCAGATGCCACCCAATCACTTCTTTTGCTCAAATCTTCCTCTGAAGAGGAGTTACGTGACAGGCAATGCTCGGGGACTAAGAAACGAGGGAATAAGAGAAATCCCACTGTGTTTCCAGTCCTGTTGTGGGCAAAGCTCTCTGTGTTTAGCTGCTTTCAGCTGAAGGAGAATATAAGATGCACTCCTGGGCTTCCCTGGTGGCGCAGTGGTTGAGAGTCCACCTGCCGATGCAGGGGACACGGGTGCGTGCCCCGGTCCGGGAAGATCCCACATGCCGCGGAGCGGCTGGGCCCGTGAGCCCTGGCCGCTGAGCCTGCGCGTCCGGAGCCTGTGCTCCGCAACGGGAGAGGCCACAACAGTGAGAGGCCCGCGTACCGCAAAAAAAAAAAAAAAAGGCACTCTTCATATTAGACTGGTGTCATTAGGAAACCTGAAAGCTGACGGGGAGGGAGCGGGTTGGTCCTAACTGCTTAGTCCAGGGGAGCTTAGCTTGGAGAACAGAAAAAAAGGAAGCAGTGGTTCCAAGGGCGCACCGGCTCAGCCAGACTCTTAAAAGAGCATTAAATCTGACATTGGCTACTGCAAAGACAGTACCTACAATGGGTGCCTGAGTAATAGGTGCTCAATGAGTATTTATTTAAGGGGTGGGTGAAATAGGCTTCCTTTAGAATGTTCTGTGGAACTGGGCTAAGAATGATAATGAGGCAGCCTCAGAGCTCAGTGGAATTAATGGTGAGATTGATCAGTGATGTCTGCCATGACATGCAATAGGGAAGTGGTAGCTTAAAGAGGAAGTCTCTGCCACATTAAGATTTCCTTCTTTAGTGCAGTGGAAGTATCACCTTAAATCACGGACTTGTGTCCTCCAAACCTAAATATGGAAATGGCAAAAAGAGAAAAAAGAGCAGAAGGGGAAAAGTTGTTGAGGAGGAAAAGAATTAGAAACAACACGAGGGACAAATGTTAATAGAGAAAAGAAATAAAATGGTCGAGGTGGCCAAATTCTGGCATATTATTGGGAATGTGTAGAATTTCACGTGGGCTTTCTGGTTTTTTTTTTCTCACAAGATGAAAAGGAATCAAGAAACCACTGTGTTCTGATTTTTGTGGTCAGGACATAAACAGTCCTGCTAAGAAGAATAGTCTCTGAGGAGAAGGAGCTGACAAAGCAATTCTCAGAGCATTAGGTTAGCAATCAACTGTTCAGAAAAGAAAATATCGTCCCGTTGTTACTGATTCCTCCTGGATTTGCCAGAACCAAGTTTATTCCAGAGTCTTTGAGAGTCATAGTTCTTTGAGCCATTTAGGGACTATTTGACTGTCAGATTTCAGACTCTTGCTAAATCCAGTTTCCTAGATTCCTGCTAAAAATAAGCAAGGGGATGGTCCCTGCAAACACAGCCAAACGTTCCTCCCTATTTCAGACCACAGGTGAAATGCAGAAGTAGGGAACACCTGGACCAGCTCCAAGCCCACACAGAACTGAACCTCAGACATGAATCATGGTTTGGCTGTGCATGAGCTGGTGTCAGAAAGCACGTGATCAAACTGAGAAAGAAAGCAGATGTGGGACTTCCCTCTTGCCTCTTTTTGGAGGAAGTGAAATCACTCTTTTGCAACGCAGATGCATAATTTTTTTTTATTGGGGTATAATTGCATTACAATGGTGTGTTAGTTTCTGCTTTATAACAAAGTGAATCAGTTATACATATACATATGTTCCCATATCTCTTCCCTCAGATGCATAACTTTTGTAGAAAAGTTGCCTTTTTAGAGACCAAAGTTTAGCTTTTAGACACAAGCCCTTGAGAGTGGCCATTTGGAGAGTTTATGCGGTTGCCTGTGCCTTTCAGGACAAGAAAAAGTGGAAGAAGTTGCTGGCGAGCAGAGTAAAGCAAGACAAGAATGGGTGAAATGCTCTGGTCAAACTCTTGGAGGTTGATTCCTCCTATGTGACCATTATGAGCACCAATTGCTGCTGGTGGCATGCAAATTTAAGTTGAGCCGAAATTCCCATTTGCACTTCTTCTTTCATTTTTTCCCCATGAATTGCAAAGAGAACTTCCTTGAACACAGCAAACACAGTCATAGGCTTTGGATCATCTCCAAATGATATATGGTATATGGAATATGGAAATTCCAGAAATATTTGGTTTCTTTTGTTTTTTAAATGTATATTTGCTGCTTACTTTTCTGAGTGCAAAAGTGATGGCTACCCATCCCTGTGTTTGGTACTTGGTAGATTCTCAATAAAAATTTGTTAAATGAGTAAAAACATGCTTATTGTTGAAAACTCAAAATGTAGAGAAGAGTGGAAAAAATTTAAATAATTCATAAAACCTACCTACTAGATATAATTACTGTCAATGGGTCAGTTGGTGTATATTCCTCTAGTTATATTTGTACATGGTTGAGGTCATATTGAATGTATGTCATGCCTTTTTCACATAACATTATGGCATAAGAATTTCTCATGTTATTAAAATTGTTTGAAAATATAATTATGATGGCTGTAAAATGTTTTGTCATATGGATGTAATATAACTTCACTCTTTTTTGGCTCTTTTAGTCATTTTCAATCTTTTTTTGCTATGATAAAAGTGAAGAGGAAGGCTGTTCAAAAGTAAATGACAATGACTAAGTGTTTAGAGATATAGGAACACCTGAATATAGAATTATCTATATTCACCTTGCTTGTATTTTCACTGAAGAAGAGTGAAGTCTCATCAGGATCTATTAAAACCAAAAAAAAAAAAAGTAAGAAATTGTCAGCATGTCTTCATAACAATGTAAGTGAGTTTTCTAATTCTGATGAACTAGCCCTGAAACAGTTTGAAGAGAAGTATTTGGATATTTCAACAGACATACTGGAAGTACTCAAGGGCTTTCAACTCTAATTTTTCTAATTCTAGGATCACTCTACTGAGCTATAAATTTATAACTAACTGATTTATAAATTAACCAGAGGCTTGCTTCTCTAGCCAAGTAGAAAATGGACACTGGTTCATAAATTAATCCCTCTTGAATGTAAGTGAATTCCCCAGAGCATGATAACTGAGGCATGAATAGACCCAGAATGTGGTATTTCTGGGTTCACAGAATACTGTCAAGGTTTTTTTTAAAATTTATTTTATTCAAGTATAGTTGATTTACAATTTTGTGTTAATTTCTACTATACAGCAAAGTGATTCATATATATATATATGTATATATATATATATATATATATTCTTTTTCATATTCTTTTCCAATATGGTTTATCACAGGACACTGAATATAGTTCCCTGTGCTGTACAGTAGGACCTTGTTGTTTATCCATCCTATATATAATAGTCTGCATCTGCTAATCCCAAACTCCCAATCCATCCTTCCCCCACTGCCCCTCCCCCTTGGGAACCACAAGTCTGTTCTCTCTGTCTGTGAATCTGTGTCTGTTTCATAGATAAGTTCATTTGTGTCGTATATTAGATTCCACATATAAGTGATATCCTATGGTATTTGTCTTTCTCTGTCTGACTTACCTCACTTAGTATGATAATCTCTAGGTCCATCCACGTTGCTGCGAATGGCATTGTTTCATTCTTTTTATGGCTGAGTAATATTCCATTGTGTGTATGTACCACATCTTCTTTACCCATTCATCTGTCAATGGACATTTAGTCTGTTTCCATGTCCTGGCTATTGTAAATAGTGCTGCAATGAACATTGGGGTGCATGTATCTTTTGGAATTAGAGTTTTCTCCAGATATATGCCCAGGAGTGGGATTGCTGGGTCATATGGCAGCTCTACATCAAGGTTTTAATAACTAGTGGTGCTCAGCCTGTGAAGCTAGGCAACTGGCCTCATTATTTCTGAAAACACTTGTCAGCTGCATCAGTGACAATCTGTGGTAATTCAGTTGCTTGAAACCTTCTCTCCAGAATGCATACATGTGACCTGTAAATTGAAACATGACTTTTTCAGTCTCAGCACTGCATCCGTTTCATGGTATGGTTTAGGGAGCCATAAGGGTGAAATTGGGAGTTTCCATTAACTCCTCTGGATTCCCTGGTTCCCACTGTGTACTAGTTGTCCCAAAGAATTGACAGAGCTGGGCTTCAACTAAACCTGGTTCTAGATCAATGGCCTGGAAACACTGCTCTGAATTATGGGGTTTAATAGACTTAGCATTAGCATACAGAAACAAATTCAGGAAATTATCTTCTCCTAATAATATAATAAATGAATTGTTGCTTTAAAAAACTGAGTAATGAAGAGCCCCATTCATTTTTACGCACCTATCCTGGTTACATGCACTTAACAATGGAATGAAAAAATTAAAGTTATAGTAGTAGGTACCAACTTATTGCCAACTGTACACACAGGAAAAGGAAACTGGTATTGAAGTCCCAGAAGAGAGTAGTCAGGGAAAAACTGAAACATCAAGAGAGGGAACAAAACCAAAGCTTTCTTTCAAAGCTGGAAAACTCTCCTGGGGGTAACAGCAAAGTGTGTGGTTGCACTTTTTCTGAGTGCCCAGTACTGCTGCAGAGTAACCAGCCCTGGGGGAGGTGGGGGGCAGTTAGGGTAGTTAACTGGTAAGGGTATAGGGCTAAGTTTCCATATCTAGTACCACACAACTTTTTCAAAGTCCCGATTGACCTTAATATTCCAATCGACTCTCATTTCCCCATTTTGCGATTAGATTAGCCTAAAGAGGAGCTAGTCGCTTTAGGAGAACTGCTGAACTTTTCGTTTCAGCAACGGCTTTCTTTCCCATCAGTTCAGTCTGCCCCAAGCTTGCTGGCTGCCACACTTAGTGCTAGTGTGTCAGGCTGGGGCTATCTGAGCCATGAACAGCTTCAGGGGTGCCATCCTTATCTGGGCAGTGGCAGCATGGGCTAAAATGAACAAACCTCTGGGAGACACAGATGAAGATGGATTTCAAAAATGCAAGATTGCCTTAAAACTACCTGTTCTGGCAGTCTTACCTGGAGGCGGCTGGGATAATCTGAGGAATGTGGACATGGGACGGGTGATGAACTTGACTTACACCTACTGCAGGACCACAGAGGATGGACAGTACATCGTCCCTGATGAGGTCTTTACCATTCCCCAGAAAGAGAGCAACCTGGAGATGAACTCAAAAATCCTGGAGTCCTGGGAGAATTACCAGAGTAGCACCTCCTACTCCATCAACATGGAGCTCTCCCTTTTTTCCAAAGTCAACGGCAAGTTCTCTCCTGAGTTCCAGAGGATGAAGACCCTTCAGGTGAAGGACCAAGCTGTAACTACCCAGGTTCAGGTAAGAAACCTGGTCTACACAGTCAAAATCAACCCAGATGCAGAGCTAAGCTGGGGGTTTAAGAAGGAGCTCTTGGACATCTCTGAGCGTCTAGAGAAAAACCAGACGCGGATGGCCACCTACTTGGCGGAACTGCTGGTCCTCAACTATGGTACCCATGTCATCACCAGTGTGGATGCAGGGGCTGCTCTCATTCAGGAGGACCACATCAGATCTTCCTTGCTCCAGGACAGCCAGAGCAGCCGCAGTGCAGTGACAGCGTCCGCTGGAATCACCTTCCTAAACATCGTGAACTTCAAATTTGAGGAGAACCACACCTCACAGAACGCCTTCACCAAGAGCTACCTCTCCAACCGAACCAACTCCAGGGTGCAGAGCATTGGAGGGCTTCCTTTTTACCCAGGCATCACCCTCCAGACCTGGCAGCAGGGCATCACCAACCACCTGGTGGCCATGGACCGAGCTGGCCTGCCTCTGTATTTCTTCATCAACCCTGACAGGCTGCCTGACTTGCCAGGACCCTTGGTGAAAAAGCTGTCTAAGACAGTGGAAACTGCTGTAAGACGCTATTACACGTTCAACACCTACCCCGGCTGCACAGATATCAACTCGCCCAACTTCAATTTCCAGGCCAACATTGATGATGGCTCTTGCGAGGGGAAGATGACCAATTTCTCCTTTGGCGGGGTTTACCAGGAATGCACCCAGTTCTCAGGGAATGAGGTTGTCCAACTCTGCCGAAACTTGGAGCAGAAGAATCCACTCACTGGGAATTTCTCCTGCCCCTCTGGCTACACCCCAGTCCAGCTGCTCTCCCAGACCCACGAGGAGGGTTACAACCACCTGGAGTGTTCACGGAAGTGTACCCTCCTTATCTTCTGCAAGACGGTGTGTGAAGATGTCTTCCGGGTGGCCAAGGCAGAATTTAGGGCTTTTTGGTGCGTGGCTAGTGGCCAAGTACCTGAAAACTCAGGACTACTTTTTGGTGGCCTCTTCAGCGATAAGAGCATCAACCCTTTGACAAATGCACAGTCATGCCCAGCTGGCTACTTTCCACTGAGACTTTTTGAAAACCTCAAGGTATGTGCCTCTCAGGACTATGAGTTGGGATATAGGTTTTCCGTCCCATTTGGCGGGTTCTTTAGCTGTGCAGTCGGGAACCCCTTGGTGGATGCTGCCATGTACAAAGATTTAGGGGCACCTTCTCTAAAAAAGTGTCCAGGGGGTTTCAGCCAACACCTAGCCCTCATCAGTGATGGGTGCCAAGTGTCTTACTGCGTCAAAGCCGGGCTTTTTACAGGAGGGTCTCTGCCTCCCGTCAGGCTCCCACCTTACACCCAACCACCCCTCATGAGTCAGGCTGCCACCAACACTGTCCTAGTGACTAATCTTGAGACTGCAAGCTCCTGGATTAAAGATTCCCAGACCCACCAGTGGAGGCTCGGAGAGCCTCTCGAGCTTCGCCGGGCCATGAAGGTCATCCATGGGGACGGTAGTGGTCTCTCTGGAGGGGCAGCAGCCGGGGTCACACTGGGGGTCACCACCATCCTGGCAGCTGTCATTGCCCTGGCCATCTACGGCACCCGGAAGTACAACAAGAGGGGATACCAGGCGGTCCAAGACGAGAGGCAGAGTTTGGTTACAGGCACGGCTGTGAATGGAGACGCCCTTGACCAAGAACAGGCGCAGAGTCCAGCCTAGGCTCTCCCAGGAAACTATTTCTCTTGTCTCCGGCCAGAGCTTCAAACATGTCTTTCAGTTTTTCTTTCCACTTCTGCTTTCCTAAGTATTGATGTGGTAAATGCAACAAAAGGCAGGTATAACTTTGGGACTTTCTTAGGTCTTTGGGCCAGAAAATGAATAGAGCTACGTGGACAAAGTTGTGGGAGAAGTGGGAGAACAGTTGTGACTTTTTAAGCAAAAGTACTCCTGGAGCCTAAAACACTAGGGAGGTGTCTTTTCTCTACCTGCGTCAGTAAGTATCTTCACCTGAATGCCCATGTGTAAAAAGAGAGGAGGGAGAATGTTGATATTTGAATTTGAAGACGCATTTAATCTGAGGTCAGCCATGGTTTCCAATTCATGAGCTCTAAGAATTTATGCCCTTACGTGTTACCCTCCCACTATTTTGTGTTTTTAAAAAGCTGTCTGGATTTCATACTCCTGGAGGCGGACAGCGCCCCCAGAAGACACAGGAGGTCCTGCTTGACTATTGCTTTTCAGCTTTGAGGGCTCTGAATTGATGAACTAACTGTGTCATCTCCTCTGGGTCCTCTCAACATCATCTGAACCGAGAGATGGTGCCTATACTAGGCCCACTTTCTCCAACTTCACCACAGTTAAGACTTACTGAGACCAGGCCGCTCTTGGGCTTCAGACTAGGGTCATAAAGTCCTCAGAAAACATTTTAACATATAAACTTCTATTAAGAGGTCAAGGGAGAAGGGATGGTTTGGAGACCAGGAGTGAGTGAAGAAAGGGTAAAAACTAGAAAAGATTCTGGTGCTCATGGGAAATTGAAATTCTTACCCACAGCCAACTACTTGGTTTTGTCCTCTTAGCTCATCATAAATGGGCAAAGAAAGGAGCTGCAGGTTTGGATAGATCAAGCATTACCATCTCATTTTCTGTTACCAAGGTACAATCCCTTTCTCTTCCATGGATGGCCATCCCCCCTTCAGGTCGTCCCCATCACATGCACACACATCCTCAAACACACACACACCACATTCCAACAAGAAGTCTGCATTTTTCTGGGGGTGGGAGACAAGAAAAACACAATAAGTCAAAGTAAGCCCACACCTAAGTATCACTTCATCCCTAAAACCTAAACAGAGTAAAAAATTACCAATTAGGTACCCTACCCTTATTTTTCTTTTCCAGCAGAAAGGGTGTTGACATGATCAAATCAATTCTTTTAAATGAAACGAAAAAGCCATCCAACGTCATTTGTGACACATTTATTTCAGTTCCAGGCTGACTTCCCTGGGTCATGTAGCATGATACATGATTGTTACTTGGCAGTTGGGGCTTTGCCCAATTTTAAAAACAGTGTCACCTAATTGTAATTATTAGGGTGAATCTGTTAATATTCTTCTGCAACGTTTTTTAGAGTTACATATTTCTTCACCAAATCAAATGTCATTGGTGAGTTATCTTTTATGAAGGATAATTTGTCCTCATTAACATTCACAGTCAAGAGTTTAGGCTTATATTAGATCCTTCTTCTGAGTAGCTTGAAGCATCCCAGACTGTGGGGAGATGGGAGGGGGCGTCACACATTCACCTCTCACTGTGATACAGGGAAGTGATTCACAGAATTTGAGTCGTGCTCTCAGCCAGAGACATCGATTTCTACAACCTCTCTACCAAACCCCTGCTTCTTAAGCATTAAAATGTTCTCCTTAAGCTCTGGGTGTTTTGTGGGTATGTTTCAGCCAAGCTAACCACTTTCCTGCCAATACTGACTTCCCCGTGAATTCTTTGAAGATTACTGAGTCAGAGAGACCAAGTATAGCTAAAGCCTCCCAGACTTTTTTTTTTTAAAGAAGATGTTGGAGGTAGGAGTTTATTAATTAATTAATTTATTTTTGCTGTGTTGTGTCTTTCGTTTCTGTGCGAGGGCTTTCTCTAGTTGTGGCAAGCGGGGGCCACTCTTCATCGCGGTGCGCGGGCCTCTCACTATCGCGGCCTCTCTTGTTGCGGAGCACAGGCTCCAGACGCGCAGGCTCAGTAGTTGTGGCTCACGGGCCTAGTTGCTCCGCGGCATGTGGGATCTTCCCAGACCAGGGCTCGAACCCGTGTCCCCTGCATTAGCAGGCAGATTCTCAACTTCACCAACTTATATTTCTAACAACGTTGCACATAAATACGCATCCAAATGTATACTTAAGGAATACTCTTTTCGACTGTTCATCCACAGGAAATCAGAATGAGAGAGTCTGTGGCTTACATTCATCAATTCACTTTACAAAATCAGAACCTCCATGAGGGGTTCACAGGCTCCGCTTTCAGAATCCTGCTTTCCTGACCGGCTAGCTCAGGCTGGCATCTGTGGAAAGACTAACCACACTCCACAGACTATCAGAAATAGAGACACATCTGGGTGACAAAGGCGGCTTTGCAATTGCATTTTATTTTTGTGATCTCATTAGTATCGAGATGATCAATACTAAACACGTATTTGAAAAACAACAGCCTGTAAACTATTGAAACATACGCGATATTGTAGTCAGGTGAAGGGAACTTTAAGAAGCAAACGTTCATGGCTTTTAAGACGGTCTTTCCCCCACAGTTTCACTTACTTACTTCTCCTGCCACATGGTCTGTTCCTTTAGAGGAACAAGAAATCAAGCTAGGTAACTTGGTCAAACGTGTGGGTAGAAAAGATGTGAAAAAATTAGAAAAATGGACTCTCCCGTTCAGTGGAAGGGCTTGTGGTTGCTTACGGACTTAGGGAGGTAACCCCAATGCCTCACAGGTCGGTGTACTGGTCTACAGAAAGCAGGTTGACGGCAATTTTGTGGTTGTTCATTTACCATTTATTGTTCTGCACATACACCTCATGAGCACCAGGTGGCGATGTCCTCTCACAGAGCAACACCAAGGACGTCAAAAGACGCTGGTTTCAAACAATGATTTGCGACAGGACATTCACCTGCCCTCTCCCAGACCCACCTCCTCCCCACTCCCCACCAATGTCAGTGGCCACAAACAAGGAAAGAGGACAGGGTCCTTTCTTGTACCACACGGGACCTTCCCGCAATCCTCTCATGCCCACAACAGTGCAATACCAGGACGAGCACTTTTGACCAAGTATAAAACCACAGAGAAGTCCAAGCTTTACAAATGGGGGACGAAAACACAAAGACACACACAGCTACACATACACAATTCATCTTTTAAGGGATGAGCATATAACAAGGTTTGTCTCCAATCCCATGTGTCATCCCTGGAGACTCAGGAAGGGAGAAACCAGGCTGCTGGTGCTAAGACGATGAAAGGAAAGGCATGAAATTCCCTGCACGGGGCAGGGAACACAGCAGGGCTTCCGGTGGGAGAACTTCCTGTGTCAAAGTGATGGATGCACAGGGCCTCTGCTGGAGGGGGTTCTCACCGAACCCGAGACTGTACCTTTCCAGGTTGGCACAAGAGAGAGGGCAAAGGAATGCCTCCCGCCTTGCCTGACACAGTGTTAGAAAGGAAGTTTAAGATTCCTTCTTCTGAGAAGGTCCCACAAATAGAGCAGCATGAGGATGAGGTAGTCCCTACTGAGCATCCTTAGAGAGCAAGAGACACGGGGTGCCGATACTATCAGCGCCCTAGGGGGGGAAGGCTTGAAGGTACGAAGATGAACTCTCAAAGGGGTATTGCCCCTGGCACACTGCCTGCCTTACATGTTCCCTGCATCCTCTTCTTTCTGCTCCTGGCCGTCCCCTTCTCCACCCACACCTTCTTCTGCCTGATCCAGGGAAATCAATCTCTCCCCACGGCCCTCTGCCGGTTGTCAAAGCATTCTTCTTTCTTTCCCATCTCCTACTGCAGAGCTCTATCTACCCGCTGACGCTCAGTCTATTTCCTCATCCCCTGTGGGTGAGGAACCCAGGGGATACTTGACAAGGGTGCTGAATGAAGGTAGGGATGGTACGAGGCTTATAATGTGGCTCATCTCTGGCACGGCGTAGCCTTAGCCTGGCAAAGGGCATGGACGTGACATCAAAAGCTGCAGGGATGTCTCTTCCGTTGAGTTCAGATGTTTCCTTCCCCACTGTGGCAGGAAACTGCCCCATGGTGCCGTGAACTCAGGCCCTGGTCTGCTGGTGAGATAAATGACGGATGAGCGAGACTGGAACTCAGCCAGCAGGAGCAATTCCTCCTGTCAGAGCTCCCTCTGCTGGAGCCGATTAACACCCCTATAGCCATTTGGAAAAGGAGGGGAGCGTGACCCAGAAGCTGGGTGACACCCAGGTGAGCCCACTGGCCACCCGACAGTCAAAACGTCTGCAGGCGTTTGGAGCAAGCAGCTCGGGGCCCGCTCTCAGAAAAGCTTGGCTTCTGCTTCTAACTTAAATACCATTTTTGAAGGTTCTTCCATTTCCACCTTTCTAGCATCGAAAACCTTCCAAATACTATGAAATATATATGCATATATATATACGTTAAACCCCCAAACGTGAGGTATATAAATTCAAATTAGAATCCAGAGGAACTTCCCCCAAACACGTAGTTCAAAGAACCCACTTTCAAAGGGAGGATTGGGTTTCCCTTCTTGGTCCCCCTTCTCTCCTCCCTGACACACAATCCCTTCCTTAACAGGAGCTGAAGGGAATGTCAGGGAGGGGATAGACAGGGTCTTGGGACACAACCCAGACGCAGGTTGGACTGGACCCTAATGTGGCCCCAATCCTGCTGGGAATGGGCTAGAGTCTCCCTCACGCTCTGGGTCATCCTGTAATCGAAGAGGGAGGTGAGGGGCCCAGCACCACCTCCGGGCTCTGATTAGCAAATGTGCACGGAGACAGATCGAAGCCCTCGTAGTCGGGCTCAGATCTCATCTTGAAAGAGATATACAAAGGGGTCAGTCCAGCCCTCACCTTACACATCTTCCCAAGCATAGTTCTATCTTCTTCTGGGTCCAAGTTTACTATGGGATGGGCTGGCAAAGGGTGAGGCAAGTCAAGGGCCCACAGCCTGGCTGCTTCACCCCCATCAGAATGGGGGCTTGACATCTTGCAAAACAGTGTGGGAACACGATGGGACCCTCCACCAACCCGGCCCAGCAGTGCACACACGCGCACACACGCACATGCACATACACATATATGCACGCACACAGATGGCACAGAGCCCGGCCTGGGCTCCACTCACAGTGACTGTATGAAACTCATGGAATCTTTGAGCTGGTCTGGGATGAGTTGGGAAGAAGGCTATGGGCTCCTCTCCCTGAGGACTGTGCAGACGCTAAGTTGGATGCAGGCTCGGATCTGATCAGCGAGGGGCCGGAGACACCTTTGGATGCGGCCCCAGAGAGGAACCCCAGAGCCTATCCACCTGTATGCCTCTTTGGACAGGTCAAATGTGGGAGGAGGAGGGAGGGCCCAGAGAAGCCAGGGCGATGATGAGAGCTGAGCCTGCTCCCGGGAGCCTGTGCCACCCTGACCCTCTTGGCAAGACGTGCTTCCTTGCTGTACGCCGAGGCACGGATTTCTGACGTCACAGCAGTTTCGCGGTTCACCACTTTGCCCCCCAGTCTTGCACAGTGAGAGCCCCTCACCTCCAGCGGAGGAGAGAAAAGCAGAAACTCCGCTCTCGAAGCAGAGTGGAAGCAGCAAGAAACCGGCTGAGGCATGAACCTCCGGCTTCACAAGGCCAGGATAAGGAGTGCCCATACCCTAAGCGTGCTGCCCGTGCCCCCTGCTTAGGGGGGTGAGTGGGGTCCCTGCCTACCCAGCACCGAAAACTCCATGGGAACAGACTGAGGATGGCCCTCATCCCACGTCCCCTTTGCGTTGGATGCGGTTTGTGGATGACACCACCTTATTCATTCTGACTGCTGCCCCCAGCCTGGGGCTGGGAGGGATGGGGGGTGGAGACAGGACAGGAGGGGAGACAGGGAGTTGGGAGGGCATGGCGCCAACTTCCACGTTGACTCTCCCCACTTCCTGACCTGGGGTCCCATGGCCTCTCCCACCCCAAAGCCCCTCCGGTTCAGTCCGCCTCCTGGGCAGTACTGTCCTCAGAAATGCCCTGGGCAGCCAGTTCAGCCAGCACGTTATCCAGGTAATTGGCATCTGGGTAGCCGTGGCCAGTGAGATTAGAGCCAAACTCTGTCTTGTGATGGACCTCATTCCAGATGACGGTATCTGACTCGCCTGTGGTGCTGGACGTACCGATGGCAAAGATGAGACGGCGATCCCAGGCCACAAGCAGCAGCTTCAGGACCTAAGAGAAAAGGCAGGAGATCAGAGTCAGGCATCCAGACTATCCCTTGGGAAGTGGAGAGTCCTCCCAAGGGTCCGAGCCCCTCCTGCATCGTGATGCCCTAAGCAGCACAGTGAATAGAAAGGGATTTGTAAATGGAGTCAGGGACCTGCAGGTTAAGTCTTGACTCTGTCGTTGACTAACTGTGTGGCCGCGGACAAGTTACATCACCTCTCTGAGCTTTCATTTCCTTACTTATAGAAGGGCAATGGTACACTTTACCCCTGAAGGTTGTGCACAACTTAGGGAGTACTATGTGAAAAGCACTTTCACAGTAGTGCTTGGCACACCTACTCAACAAATGCTAGGTGCGAGCATCATAGCTGCATTTTAAAAGCTGGGATCTAGGCATCCAAGGCACTTATGATCTGAGATCTTCTGAGCTATGCCCTCCCCCCTGCCATCACCAACACCTGAATGTGGTATTA